ATGACATTTGAGGGACCTGTGCGACCTCCAAATGCTGATGCCTGAAAGCAAGTTGATAGGAATATAATAGCTCCAGAGACAGATGTCAGCTATAGTTATGCCTTTTGGGAGGCTTCATCTTTAAGCTGGTGGTTGAAGGCCTGCATGTGGATCAGTTACCCTGGTGCCCCTGGTAAGACAAGAAGAGGGGCAAATCAGCTCTAAAGAACTACACTGTTAAACAGTCTGATCAGGGAAGAGGCTCTTTCAATGGAAACTAAGAAGGTGGTAGGGGTGGTAGGAAGAATGAAAGAATGGGAAAACATATTGACATGGATGCTGCAGGTGAAGACAAAAACTTCAAGTAGAAAAGGAGATCAGCCCTTGTACAATCCTACCGCGAGCTCAAGTACAGTGAATGACCAAGAGGCTGGTTGCAGATCGTCTTGATTTCCGGTTGTTTTTGTGGCATTTTCAGTTTTTCTTCTTTCTATGTTTGGCAACACATTGCTTAAACCCTAAGTGAAGCAGCCGTCTATGAACGACCGTGTAACTATCATTGGATTACGTTCATTTAACACAGAGCTCTTGTCGAGTAGTCATTTTATTCGACGTGACTTGCCTTGTCAAAAGTTAATTTAGAGAGGCCAGGTTAGAGATACTTGGGGCTGCTGCTGATTATATATTTCATAATGAGGTTGTACAAGTCACTCTTTTCCATTCCACCACGTTTATTGAAAGTCTGCTTTGAGCATGGCATGAGGGGGATGAAGGAGACGTAGTCTGACTTTGGCACTTAGTCAAGAGAAAACATGTTTTTTATTTGTTCCTCTTTTCCTTGACCTTTAGGTCCAAATGAATCCAGGACGTGATGCTAGGAATGGCGAGCTTTTCCCCGTGAATAGCACCTCAGGGGCTGACGTGCTTCTTCAGGGTTCCAGGCCAGCCCCTGTGCCTTCAAAGAGGACGCTAGAACCAAGAAGCCGGAGGAGCAGAGTCAGGAGTGCCAAGGGGGGCCCACAGGAGCTTCCAGAGCCCAGCGGAAGCCTAAGGGTAGACAGCTCTCGTGACACTTCATGGAAAAGCCCCACTTGGGCATCTTCAGTCTGCAGCGCAGCCAAGGACAGCCAGCGGTGCCTGCCTCCTCCTCACGTTGAACCTGAGGTCAAAATGGAGGTTCGCCTCCAAGGAAGTCTCTTTCCGAAGCTTGAGGCGGAGACGAATGTTGACACCGGGCTCACTGTGCTCAATTCCGAACCCAGGCAGGATTCTGCGAGCAGGTGTCCAAGAGATTGGCACACCAGTCAGCCTCAATCCAGCTGGCCATCCGCCTCCCCAAACAACAAAGCCTTTGAGGAGAGAGCACGTCCTTTGTCACTTGCGAGCCAGAAGGGACTCAGTGCATGGGGGATGATCTCCAAACGCCCCCATCATCAGCCAGAGCAGACTGAAGCAAAAGAAGAAGAAGAATTCTTTATATAGCATAGAAAAAAGGTGATTTTCCAAGATAGGAGATCAACCACATTTTCTGAAATGGAGCGCGGACCCATTATGGGCCTGCTTCTTCTTGTTCAGGGGGGGCTGGTGTGTGTGGATGCAGGGAGGCTAAATGCTACCCCCACGTACATCTGTGCTGTTTTCATTTCAGAAGTTCAAAGTCTAATGGTTATGTGAGCGGTTGTTTATTTGCTACCACAGTCATAAGGGATCACAATGAATGTAGACGGAAAAAGCCTACTGCCTTGCATTCCCCGGAGAAGCACTAACCCAGCGTGGGGTGTGGAGTTCAGCATCTATCAGGATAATTGCGTTATATGCAAATGAGTCAGTTGTGTTATGCAACACTCATTAGCGTGTGCAATGTGGTTTTAATTTCTACTTGGGCTACATAGCTCATCCCTCTGGATAGCCTGGCATATTTATTCTTTAGTGCTTTTTAATTTTTATGTGGCCTCTTTTGCTAACTAAGCCCTATTTACTGCATACCCTCTTGTGATTTTAAAGTTGTTTGCTTCTGGAACGAGTTAAAATGCAAAGTGGCTAGAAAATTATTAATAATTTCCCCCCTGCTCAATGAGCAGAAACACTGGGAGCCAAAAACCAGCTTAAAAATGAAAGCAGAATGCTAGCACTTGCTTGCTCATCTGTTTCTGCCGAACCCCCGAGGGGCCAGTTGTTTGAGATTCCCTTTAAGGAGAGCAACTCTGATTAGGCAGGACACTGGATCAGGATTTGTGGCCCATCTGGCTATAATTGATTCCCCGAATTTCTTTGCAATATTCATTCATTCATTCACTCCACAGATGTTAATGAATACTGGGGATTGAATTCTATGGGCATTGGCAGTTCAGTGGCTGGGTTCAATTCTGGGTGAGTGCCTCTCAGGCACGTTCATCACCTGTCTGTCAATGGAGGCTTCTGTGTCGCTGGATCTTAACCAGGTTTCAGAGAGGCTTCTAGGCTCAGAGGGACTAGAAAGAGAGAAACAAATGAAGGAAGGAAGAAAGAACAAAAGGCAGGCCTGCCAATCTACGTCCAGAAATCAGACAAGGAGCACTCCAGGAATTGCAACATTGCAGTCTGCAACTGGCCAAGGGGATGGATGGGCCAGGACCAGACAGCATTTTGTTCTTTGTTCGAGGGTGGGGTGGGGTGGGGGGTCAACACGAATCAACAGCAGCTAACAAAAACAAACACAACAGATTTGTATAAGACAATGTATATGTGTATGGTACAATCTGTGGTCATCTAGCCCCCAAACTGTTTGGAATTTTGCCACTTTGATAATTCCATTCTACTAACTCTTAATTCTCTCTGGCATCATCTGCATGTGAAAGTTAGACATTGAATAAGGAAGACCATAGAAGAATCAGTGCATTTGCATTGCGGTGCTGGAGATGAATATTCAAAGTACCATGGACTCTATTGGAAGAAGTAAGGCCAGCGTGCTCCTTAGAGACAAGGAGGGCAAGACTTTGTCTTCCATACTTTGGACATATTGTCAGGAGAGACCAGGCCCTGGAGAAGGACGGCATGTTTGGTAAAGTGGAAGGGCGACAAAAAAGGAAGGCCCTTGATGAGATGGATTGACATAGTGGCTGCGTCAGAGGAACAATTGGGAGGATGGTGCGGGACCGTGTAGTGTTTCCTTCTGTTGTGTACAGAGTCTCTGTGGGTCAGAGCCCACTCAATGGCACCTAACAACGACAACTCTTAAAACATGTTCAAGTACAAACTTATCCCACTAGGACCTTTCCACAGTTGACTACACTTGCCACACACAACCTGAGGATGGACATTGGACCTATCGTGAATGACAGTTATCATCATCATGGGCAAATTCTTGATTACCCATATGCTATGATACTGTTGGATAAGCATTGGACTGCTAGCTCCAAGGTTGGTAGTTCAAACCTACTAGCCACTCTGTGAGAGAAAGGTGAGGCTCTCTGCTCCCATGTAGATGTATAGCCATGGAAGTCCTTACGAAGTCACTAGGAGTTGGAATGTGCTGATGGCAGTGGACTGGTTATTACACACATTAAAAAGTCCAAGGTCTATATTGCAGTACAAGATTATTGGACTCCAGAAACTTCATCCTCCAGGAAGGATGTCAAATAAGAATATAAATGGCGCAGTGTCTGCAAAATGTGTTTAAACATTCCAACAATTGGGAAGTTGGTGCAGGACTCTGGGAAATGTTTCGTTCTGTTATACAGAAGGACACACTGGGTCAGAGGTAAACTGATGACAATAACAAATACATAATAGGTTCAGCTGTATAATTTGGAAACCTGGATATTTATAATACCTCTTTGGAAGAAGGATGAATTCCAGCCCAAGGATTAATCCCAGGAGACTACATTAAGTGAGTGTGTGCACCACTCATCAAATTGGAGAAAAACTGCAAAGGATCAAAGACAAGAATAAGAATTGAGTTTATTTTGTCCTTACTATAACAATATATTCTAATTTCCATTTTCTTTCTCTGCCACAAATTAAAAGACAGATTTAGAAAATGGAGTGAAAAACTCAATTTTGGTATTGTTTTCTATAAAGAGAGTTTTACAAAAATGAATGTCGAATTCAAAAAGTCAAACTATGGGTCTACCTTGAGAAGCACAGCAGAACAAAGTTCGGAAATTTCTTTCCTTCTGTCTTCCGAAGATTATCTAAATCACTATAGCATAATATATGGTTAAGAGTGTGAGTGCCTAGAAAACTGAGCCCTTTGAATAAATAGCTTACAAAATTGACTTGTAAAATAATATCTGTAATCTTGAATGGCATCATCTCCATTCTACTACTCAATACAAGTAGTTCCTAATTTAGGGTGGAGTTTTGTTGCAATGCCCCCATCATAAGCCAAATTTGATGTCAGTTTAATACCTCTTGATGGGTTTTATTATCAGTAAATTTATAAATTTGACTTCCGTTGTCTCTGGGGGCTGGATGTTTCCATATACATTTCAATATCAGTGCTTCTTAGACATAACCAAACACCTTGAAAGAATGAGTCACTGGGCCTAGGGGTTCAAACCTGTGGTTTTGAGGGACACAAAAGTCCATTGGTGTAACATAGTCCACAAAGACAATATTCTTCATCCCATTTTGAGGAATAATGTTTGGGGTCGTAAGAGTTTATGAACAGCCATCTAAGGGGGCAACTATTGGCTTTTCACTGTTGGGAGGAAAGCACAGTTATGAAAATCAAAGACTGTGGAAACAATGGGTCCCCTGGACTAATCCTCCACCTGGATATCAGTCTCCATGAGCCTGAGACCAGAACTTGACGATGTCTTGCGACCATTACTGATTTCTGTGAAAGGGATCACCTGAGTAGATCCTGGGTAGAGTGGGAAGAAAATGTGGAACATAACTCAAAATCATAAAAGAGACCAGGCTGATTGGTTGAAAAGAGATTGGTTCTTAATCACCCTCCAATTCTGGAACTGAAGTTACCCCTGTGGCTCCATTTCCGTCAGACAAGAGACAGTCTTTAAGAGGAACAATAACACTAGTGAGGTTCCCACATCTTCGAATAACCAACCATTTGAGATCAAAAGGGCAGCCAGTACCCAAACGAAGTGCAGAAGGGTTAGGGAAGAAGGAGAAATGGAAACAGCAAACACAGAACAAGCGGGATAAGTGACTATATATTGTTGGGAGGGCAATGAAGGAGATGCAACAAAACATAGATGAATTGTTGAATACAAAACTGCTCATCTGCACTGTAAACCGTCACCCAATTCACAAACGTTTGAAAACCATCAACAACAAAAAACACTGGTGCTTCCTGATTGTATGCATAAAAATTTGAGACAGATGGTCATAGTATAGAGTGCATACTTGAGTTTGTTATAGCTAGAAATGTGGTCAGTTGGAGGCTACCTGTACAGGATCTCATGCTGGGAGGATAAAACCAGTGGACTGGGTGAGAGAGACCCACATTTTGCTCTCAGCTTATAAATGTACTCTTTTTGCAACTTTGAATGCTTCAGATTCTTTGAAATCCTGCTGTCTTCTGTGCTGTAACAGGAGTTGTTAGTAGAATCAGTATTATATTTGTGAAAGCCTTGCGATATTGTTCACTGTTGTAAATAGGAAACAATAGTACTATTACAGAAATAGCCCTTCATATCCATGTTTTAAAAATGGTGTAGTAACAAAGGTTGTTTTTTTTTTAATCAGCTCCAGTACAGTCAATGCTATGATAAAAAGAAATAAATCCAACTCTCTGAGATTTTTACCATGTGGTGTTATTTTTCATGTTCATATATTTAAGAGGAAAATTATGCATTGTAAATAATCCAATCTATCCTGAAGTTCAAAAAATACTGTATGAAACAGAGAAATGGTGGTTTATTCCAATTTATCAGCTTAGTCAGACTTTTTATTTGACTGTGTTGTGGTTATGTGCATTGAGTTGTGGACCTCAGAAAGAAGCACCGCCCCATCTTGCCCCACCCTCAGAATCACTGCTGTGCTGGAACCCTCTGTGGAAGCCACTTCGTTAAAGCGCTCCAGGGCAGAAGGGCCTGGACCAGTGATCCGTACCAGTCAGACTGCAGCTCTGTTACCTGGTCAGCTAACTGCAGTGCATAACAACACAAGCCCTTAAATTCCATCTCCATGTTATAAAGATTATTCAGACAATCCAGAATAAACTTCGTATTCTCTATCTTCCTTGTATCTCTCTCAAGCTTCTTGTCTTTCCCCCCACCCGTCTCCCTTTTCCTACCTTTCCCTTTCCTCACCTTTTCTATTTCCTTTCTTCCCTTTTCTTTCTCTACGCTCCCCTCTCTCCTTCCCTTCTTGTGCGTGTGTGAATTTGACAGTCTTATTACGTGATTGAAACTTCAGAAGTCCACGGTGGATGTCACAGTAGATGTGGCTAAAAAGAGTGTGAATGTGTTCCCCACAGATCAGTAAGTAGGGTGAGCCCGTGCTAAACTAGCTAAGAGTCAGAAGCAATGCCAGGGCACCTCACAACAACCTTGACTATGGGTATTTCTCCACTGTTTTCTCTTGTTACTTAGGTTTCAGGCTGAAAGCCTCTGACTTCGGGGACGTACTCAGCTACGTGCCCCAAAAAAGCATCTCAGGTGGACCCAAAATAGGAACATTAATAAGGCTTTATCTAGTTAATGCCCAGCAAGGGACAGAAGGAAGACAAAGCTTTGTATGCTGGATGCCAGAGATAAGGGATGATCCATTTCATTCCAACTCATGTTCTAAAGTATGGATCTACCATGGAGAACCCCACCGCACCCCTGTGTTAGGACAGGTTGTCAAAAGAAGCAGTTACAGTGATACTCATTTATGTATAAGCAAGGCCTGTGTATCCAGACGTAATTAAACCCCATGGGGGTATCTCAGCCCAATCCAGCTGAAGGTCATAAACCTAATACTAGTCCCGAGTCCCTCTTCAGACTCCCATTACTGGAAGTGACGCAGAACCCAGAACAGGGAAGCGGGAAGATGGTCACTTGGTGAGTGCAGAAGCACGTAGACCCAAGTTGGTGGATATGTGGCAGGGCGCCGTGGTGGGGGCAGAGATTCAGCAGACAGGAAAGAGGAGGGAGGGAGGGGGAGAGAGAGAGGGAGATGGAACACTTCTGAGGTTCCCCACTTATAAGAAAGCCACACCCTCAAGGAGACATCATCAGGGTGCGACCTGAGTGACTGGCCGCATCCCACTGCTACATTCTTTCATACAATTTAAAGTATTTTCATAAAAATGAAAGCTGACATGACATTATCTAACTACCGGAGCCTCTGTTTTCCCTCTATGCTTAATATCTATGTTTTTCCTTATTTCCTGTTGACTGTAGACCTGTTGTGGGGTGTCTGGGTAGTGCAAATGGTTAATCCTTCAGGTACTAATGCAAGGGTTGGCAGTTTGAATGGACTAGAAGCCTCTTGGAAGAAAGGCCTGGTAATATGCTTCCAAACAATCCAGCCATTGAAAACCCTACAGAACTCAGTTCTCAACAACGCACGGGGTAGCCATGATCTGGCATCCACTTGAAGACAGCTGCTTTAACTTTGCAGACTCGGTACAGCTCCCTCCTCATCCCTCTATG